TTTTTTATTTTCTATTCTTAAAGAAAGATAAACAAACAAATAACAAAATAACTATATACTCTATACTCTATACTCTATACTAGATCCATTTGATTCAATTTGATTTTATCTGCATAGCACTTTTCACAACATAAATCAGATTTAAGTAGAATATCGCAACACTGAGCAAGCAAAAGGCAACAATGTGACAAGGAAAGCAGATGTTGTTTACGCTCATGCTGACAAAATATGTAGTATCTCCAATTATCCTTTGATACATTCACAACACTTTATCTGTAATACCAGCCAAAAGAAGTTACACACCAATTTGGATGAAAATAATTCTGATTGGTTAGGAAATCTAACCTCTGCCTCGCCCTTTAATCATCAGCAGCACAGTCATTCTATCACTGACGCAATCCTGACTTACAGCGGGAGAGGTTGGATAAGAGGAGGGGCGTGACACCAGAACAGTGCTGTCGGTGAGTGATGAACAAGAAAAATCTGATGGCTGTTGTACCACATCACGACTGCCATAAATCTCACACATCATTCTTTTGTTGAGAATATGCAGCCAGAGCACCGGTTGTCCCCTGAGGTCCAGGTGTGTCATAGCTTAGACGGGTTAAACAGATGACCTGATAACTTGACCTTCTAACTTGATCTCATTAGAATTGAAAGGTATTCATATGCAAAGTGTTCTAGAACATAGTTTATAGTAAAACATGTAATTTGACATTATTACAATATGTACTTTTTAAAAGTTAAACTGACATGAAAGTGTCTCTCTTAATGTACACTTAAGTGACCTTTTATTTCATTAATATTAAATGATCTGCAAGTTCACTAAAAATATAATTTAAAGTTTTGAGGAACAATACAAGTGCACATTCAATACAATTAAGTACCCTTCTTTTTCACAAGGGCTCACAAAGTTTCTGGCTCCATTTTCAGCAAGTCTTGGAAGGAAGGCAATAAATAGAGGATTCAAAAACACTGGGACCAAATTTGTATAAACAGTGTATGTAAAACATTTTTTAAGGAACTTAATTATCAAATGTAAAAATGAAATAAAATAAAATAAATAAAAATAAAAATGCATTCAAAATCACTTTTGCTCAAAAATCTGAGGGGGCCCCCTGTTTGAATGGGCACGAGTAAGTTAATCATGGCCATGTTGTACTAAAACGTTCCTTCATTTTAATCAAATCAAAAAGAGAGAAAGTCTTAGTATAACGTGGCCATTATTTACTTAAATGACAGAACAAATTCTTAATTCATGGCCATGATAAATATTTTTTTGTCTGCATGTCATGTGTGGGGCTCCATGAAGCAGTGCACTTTTGCCTTTTACCAATTGACCAGTGTGTCTGAGTTTTTTTTTCATGAAAAATAAACAGTTATGCTGTCTTCCGTGCATAAGAATGCTGTGCAATCATGTTAAATTTTGCTTGCTTAATTATAAAAATTAATTTTTATACTGTTTATTGCATGCCACCCTCAAAAAAAGAAAAAAAAACCTAGGTGCATGATGCCCCCGCAAAAAAGATCACCCTGATCACCAGACGTAAGATCACCCTGTGTATCCGGATATATTGTCTTTCTTGCATGCAGAACTGGATCATGGTCCTTTGAGGGTCTTGGCCATGTCTTAGAACCGCTGCCAACTTCCTTTGTTCCCTTCTCTTTTCTTCTCTACCCATACCCTCCCTTCCAGCAGCCTGCCACTCACATGAGATCACAACAATTAGCAAGCAGGCAATGATTTAATCAATTCTGATGGACAAAACCAAGTCCTTCTCTATTTTTCATAATTCAAGAAGGATAATTTGCCACAATAGGGAAGAAAATAAATTCGCAATGTTTGTTTCATGGCTGAAATATATAAATAAATAAATACTGAAAAGCAGCTTACATGAGAACTCTTTCAAATATGTTTTTTTTCTCTAATATATATAAAAAAGATATTTGATAATACATATTTATTTTTATATAATTTTTATTATAAAGTGTTTTTTTGTTTTTTTTTAACAAAGAGCCACACCGAATGGCTAGATCATACATTAATCTTTTACAATTATAATATTTGAAAATTATAATGTATAAAATTAAATTTTTACAATAAAAACCATAGTGCATGCGCTGTGGCAGGGGTTTTCAAACCTGTCCTGATGGACCACCAACATTGCACATTTTGTACTGTATGTCTCCCTTATTTAACTCATCAGCTCGTTAGTAGAGACTGAAAGACCTGAATTGGTTGTGTCTGATAAGGGAGACATACAAAAGGTGCAGTCCTGGGGGTCCTGCGCTGCGCTGAGAGACCCGGGTCTTAGTGGTTAGCTTGAACTTTAATGCACTGAGGGCTTCCTTTGGCAGTCTTTAGTCATGCAGACTGAGGTTTTGTAGACTCTTGGCAGTCAGAAGCCCGAGTCCCTGCTCATCTGGTCTACAATCCAGCACCGATATAAGGTTTTTCCAGCATGGACACAGATCATCTCCTTTATTTGAAATTTTTGTTAATGAAATTCCATATTTCCAGTCTAAATCAAATGACTTGTCATTCAGATAAATGGCACTGAGATGTAACTAAAGGCAGGATGATTTCTATAAATCACTAATTATTATTGATTCAAAACAAGTGTGGAATGAATGAACGACATCCTGGTAATTACCCCAGCATGAAATCTACCATATAGAGGGCATTGAACTTGAGCATCATGAGAGAGGTGGGCTTTCAACGATGACTCTTTGACCCTTCATTGACAAGCCACTGCAATAAATCTCATCTTCTCATTCCCCTTCTATCAGACTTAATTATAAGAGGGGACCCAAACAGCAGGCATGACTGGTTGCATCATCAACTTCTAATGCCGTGCTGATGCTTAATGCAGGTCATGAGAAAATACCATTGTGACCTGTTTCTATGGCATAGTAGGGGTTCTAAACTAGTGGATCACAGAAACGGTTGAAAAAACAATTCCAAATGAAATTAAATAACATTTTTACAACCCGATTTCATGGGAAAACATTTGACTCTGCCTACATTTTTACACTGCAGTTTCCAGGTGAAATGAACACTATAGTAAAACACCCACAGATTTTCTTTTTTTTATTATTATTATGGGGCAGAGTATCAATGAATAGAGGCTTGGATTTCATGTGATTCCTTGAACAATACAGTCTTTTGACCTCAAAACACTTTTACCCAACCCAGGCTCATTGGAAATATGAGCTTGTGGTGACGTTTCGTCAACACCGATATCACGTACTTTACAGCACGTTTTGTGGCAGTTTCAAAGTGAAATGCTAAACACTGTGACCACTAAAACGCACATTCAATACGTGACCGTGGCCATGTTTTTATGATGTTGCTTCAGGAACATATTGCGGTTGTTCAGAATTCAAATGTTTAGGTTAATGCTCTATCGTGTTGGAAAATAACAAACCCTCTACATCAAACCAACCCTAAAACTACCCAATAGTGTTAACGAAAGCAAAAGTGATATAAAAACGCATTCGCTTGTGCAATCATGCTGTTTTAACTTCCTTCTATGTAAGTTTGAGCTGTTTTGTTGAACTGTAGTTTCACAGGATTCGTACCGTAGCGCTTCACTTCACAAGTGCAACGCCATATCGCGTGAGCTACCGAGGAAACCTACTATGTCAGAATCCCCATACATATGAAGCTGGATATGTGATGCCAACATTCAAAAGTATCAGTTTTCAAATCAAACAGCATGTTAAAATCGTTTTGAAGTCATAACAGAATATTGTGCAAGGAACTGTGTGAAAATTAGGCTTTCTAAATCAAAACTCTGCCGTGAGTCATCATTTGTTTATAAGGGAATACAAGTTGTCAGACTTTTACTTTTAGTATTCATTTCAACTGGAAACTGCAGCGATGTGTACATATAGGTATGTTTTTTGAGTTTTGCAGAAATGTATGTAGAGGCACATATGTCCAATGAGCCTGGGTAGCTTTTACCATATGTATGGATTTTCTGACATAGTAAACTTGCT